CAGACTCTATAAAACAATTTTGAAGTTAACAGTAAAATCTTTGTCAAAAAATATATGTTATGTAAAATAATAACACAAACAACTTTTGTCTTGGAGACAGCTTCAAATGTTTAATCAAACGCAAGTCAAAAATAAAGAACCAAAAGAAAAAAAAAAAATAACATTTAAAAAAAAAAGGAAGTTTGCAGTTATTTGCCCAGAAATGGGAGAATATGTTATGGCGAACGTATTAAAAACTATTAACAAACAAGATAACATGTTCGCACGTTTGCAAACCCTCGAACATGTTCGTCGTCATACACAACTTGTAGGACTAAACACATGATCTTTTAAGATTAAAAAAAAACATTGATATTTCAATTTATAAATATACGATGTTCCGCCTAGTAATGATTTACTATGGAAAATTTTGCTTTTTTCCTCATCACTTCCAGTGATTCTCAAAAATATATATATATTTTTTTTCTGTTTTTTTTTTTTTTACTTTGCAAAGAATCTTGCTCTTGTAGAAGGTCAAAAAACTGTACTCTTATAAACCTAAATAAATTTCGTTCAAACCCAACATTTTTTTTTGTTGGGTTTTCACGAATCTTATGTTTGTTTGATTTTTTTGGGGGGCGCTCGTTTGTTGATGCCCAGCCCCCGTATGGAATTATTATGGAATTATTTTGGAGGTTTCACATTCTGACCCCATGGGGGGTGGCAAAATGTTGCCCGATGCGTTCGTTTGTTGCTGCTCAACCCCAATACGGAATTATTTCGAAAATTATGAAATTCTAACCCCACAGGGAATGTGAAGATGCTGTCCGTTTTTTTTTCTTTGTATCAATAAGTCAGAAATGTTGTCAATCAACCAAGGAGTCAATCAATCAGTAAGTCAATCTATCAGTAAGTCAATCAATCAATCTGATTGAGGGACGAAGGGCAATAGAGAGTGAATGGCTGCAGAGGGTAGGGGGAGGGAGGACAGGGATGACTCTGAGTTTCAGACTCTGACTCCAGTGGCTACTGGTTTTTGAACATCATATGTGATGCAGCATCATGACTAAGCATGCAGCACAACCGGTGAAGAAGCACTTCGAGACTGTGAAAGCATCTGGGGGAACTGATAAGGGAAACAAGGTGTGAAGATGCAAGTACTGCAACCAGAATAGAATCGGGACTGCCTCCCACCTGAGGGATCATTTCCTGAAAGGTGCCTGCAATGTCACACGTCTGAGAGGGACAATCAGCAAGGAAGAATTGCTACGGAGGGAGCAAGGAAGAGATGCCGCTATTGCAGAGCTTGGAGGTGCACTTACCGGAGCTGGTGTTGATCTTGATCTGTCTTCGAGCGAGGATGAAATCGACACGGAGGATGCAGTCACCACTGTTGATCTCATCAAGTCCTCGACAACGCACGATAGACAAACAAAAATCGTTGGAAACGTAGCTATCATCAATGTGAACGAGCAAACCCAGTGTACAGTCGACGATTGGATGACAAATGAGTGTGCGCCCTTCGATATGATGCGGAGCATGTATTGGGATCGCATGGTGAGGGCGCTGATGAACGCGCCGAAGTCCTTCCAGTACGCCAAATTCGACGAGGTGCGAACGAAAAGGGTGGCTGTCACACGGAAGCGGGTGTCCGAGAGGATGGAGCAGCTGCGCAAGGAATGGCCCGTCAGCGGTTGCATGTTGCAACTCGATGGGTGGACTGATCGGCGAGGAAGACCATTCATAAATGTGATGGTCTCCTTCCCCAAAGGCTTCGCCTTTTGGCGGGCTGTTTGTATGCAGCGCCGAGAGAAGGGGGCAAAGAAAGACTTCGACATTTTGTCCACGGCTATCCGCGAGATCGGGGAGGAGGCAATGGTGGGGGTGGTGATGGACAATGCAGCAACATGTGCAGCCTGTGTGTCCGATTTTGAATTCAACGCGGGTTCCTCGTTGAAAAATTCAACGCGCGTTGAATTCGCGTTAAACTCCCGTTCAAACGCGCGTTGGACTCGAATTAATAGGGTCCGTAATGATTTTTTTCCTGGGCTACAAATTGTCCAAAAAACAAAAAAAAAAAAAAATGGGGCTATAGGTTTTTTTTAGGACTACAACCCTATATTTTTTTTTTTTTTTTTTTTTTTTKWTTTTTAAATATATTTTTAAAAAATCAAAAACATAAACACACAATGAAAAAATCAAAAACTAAAATGAAATGAGTGTTTTTTTTTTGGGTGTGACACAAATTTTTTAATGGCTAAAACAAAAACATAAAAACAAATAAAAAATATAGGGTTGTAGATCTTTCAAAGATATACAACAATTGATTTATTTATTTATTTTTTAGAACTTCGTATATTTAAAAAAAAATTAAAACCATAAAAAGAAAAAAAAAAGAAAAAAAAGGAAAAAAACACACACACACACACAAATTGGACCTGTAGCAGATTGCATGAGTCTGGCGTCCGAAGTTCCCGTACAACATGGTTCGTCCGGCTCCGCTTCTATTAGGGCTGGGAGGTTGGCCCAACCCTGGTGCTTGTCACTACTATGTGGTCCAAGTTGCCCTCAATACTGGTAGGGTGATGGTCCTCAGTGCTGGTCACACTTAGGTAGGATAGTAGGGACAGGGGGTGCCTCCCAGACGTGTTGGCTGAAGACCTTACTGATATAGACTGAAAGGATCCAACTGATTATCTCAGTTGGTTGGCATCGAGAGTGCCATAGGCGGGGATTGAACCCACAACCTCCTGAATACCACTTGCGTGCCTAATCAACTGAGCTAGGCCGCTGGACGGAGCTCTGATTCTTGGATCGCAAGAGGGAAAAAAAAGAAAAAAAAGGAAAAACCTGAAAAACGAATAGTAAGCTACCAAGGGTTGTGCCGCCCCACACGCGGCCAGGAAAAATGACATTTCAAGCTCTAAACTACTAGCACTGTATCTACCTATGTTCTACCAGATTCATGGCAAAGGTAAGTACGTTTTTTCTTTTCTTTTCTTTTCTTTTCTTAGCAAGCCCTGCCAACGAGCCATGGCAGTTCGTCCTAGATTTCGTTACTTGGTAACAAACAACAGAATGCTTGGATACTATATTTCTGGGAAGATGCAGCAGAAGAGAAAAAAAAAAAAAAAAAACAGACCCAAATCGCCCGCCCCCCCAGTTTTCAACGGGAAAAAACTATATCCCTCAAAAGAGAAACAATGGACACACGCCAACAATCATGCACACACACACACACACACACACACACACACACACACACGCGCACACACTTACAAACACACACATACACAAACGCACGCGCATACATTCATATTCATGCATAGACACACTCTCACGCGCACGCACACACATACACACATACGCGCACACACAGCACACCTATACACACATAACTGGGGCGTTCGGGGTTGGGGGATGTGGGGGCGGATGGGAGGTGCTTCAGGGGTTGGGGGGAATTTTTTTTTTTTTTTTTTTTTTATTTTTTTTTTTGTGCCTAGGGCCACGTGTTCCGGACGCCGCGCATCAATTTTGTTTTTCCGAAAAGCGCGGGAGCGGCCCATTTTCGCGTTTAACGTGAATTCAACGAGATTTTTTTTAATTTAACGGGATTCAACGGGAGTTTAATTCCCCCGTTCTCCATTAAAAGACACACAGTGTGCAGCTGCAGGGCGGATGGTTGAGGCGGAGTTCAAACACATCTTCTAAGTGTCGTGCACAACGCACAGCATTGACCTGATGCTCAAGCAGTTTGGGAAGATCGGGTGGGTGGACGTCATTCCGAAGAAGTCAGCGGAGGTAGTGAAGTTTTTCTATGAGCCACTCGAGGGTGCGGGACTTGCTCCTCGTCAATTCCCATGGATCAATTCTCGCAAGGCTAGGAGCGACTCGGTTCGCCACAAATTTCATCATGCTGGACAACGTGCAGCACTTGTACCTGCCGCTGTGAACGTGTTTGACAGACAAGGACTGGAAGGATAGCATCTTGTTTCCCGGGCAGCGGTATTTGTTTGCTGTTGCGACAGAGACCATCCTCGACAATGATTTTTGGGCAGGAGTCGAGAAGGTGCAGAAGTAGTCTGAGAAACTACTTCAACTCTTGAAGTTGAGCGAAGGAGTTGGAGCGACGATGAGCAAGATCTACGGCGGCATGGATGCGGCTGTGGAGAGCTTACGCAGCGAGGAGTGTTTCACAGAAATGGAGAAGAAAGAGCTCGAGGAGATCATAATGTTGAGGTGGAACACTATGACTTCTCCACTGCATTGTGCAGCAATGTTCCTTGATCTTGAGTTCAGGAACTCGAGCTTGGAAAAGGACCCTGAGGTGATGGATGATTTTTGGACGTGGGTGTACTCTTGGGCGAAACCAACGGAGTACAAGGAGTTGGACGAGGAGGTGAATTGCTGGATTGAAGGGACAGGCAAGTTCAGAAGCGAGAGGGCACTTGCAGAGGCGGACGGCGGCCAACCAGCCAGATGGTGGAGAGAGTGGTGCACTGAGTTGCCGAACTTGCAACGCCAGGCAATCCGTTTGCTTGGACAGGGGTCGTCTGCTTCCGGTTGTGAGCGGAATTGGAGTCTTTTCGAAAGGATTCACTCCAAACCGCACAACAGCCTTGTCGTCGCACAATTGAGCACATTGGTATACAATAGATGGAACCAGCATCTGTTGGACAAGCTTGAGAAGAAGCCGGTTGAAAAGGAAGACCCGAAGAAGAAGCCTTGGAGGGATGGGGTCGGGGGCTTGACAGCAGAGCAATTGTGCGAGGACGCAAAGAAGAGGGTGCAGGAGTGGAGAGCCAAGCTGCGTGGCGACAGGGAGGAAGCGGAGGATTGTGAGGATGAAGACGACGACGACGATGATGGCGCCCGTGATAACGTGGCCAAGGCAAGCTCCATTGCACGCCAGCGGGCCACCTGAAGCTTGCTTGAGCTCCAAAGGGAGCTGAACAAGGAGCTACCTTCATGGAGGAAGGCCATACGGCCTTCCAAGTACCTCGCCCGCTTGCATTTGCAGGAATCTCAGCATGCAGACAAGACTATGACATCCGAGCACTTTGAGAAGTATATCAATGCAAGAGCTCAAGCGTGCGCACCCAATGTGAAGGCGCCTGCAAAGAGGCCTCCGGGGCGACCACGTAAGGTGGCACATGTGCAGGGCACGGAGGCAGACGAGGAGCAGGCGCCCGGAGATGCAGAGGCATCCGAGCGGGGGAGCAAACAGGATGCTGGTCTCGAGGTTGCAGCAAAGGGGCTTGGAAAAAGATCCAAGGGGCGACCAAGGAAGGTGCTGCGGGAAGAGGAGGTGCAGGTGGACGCAAGGGAGACAAGGGAAGAGGGGGAATCATCTCGGAAGGGCAGCGCCGAAGTGAAAGACGAGAAGAGATCGAAAGAGGGGGAGGAATGCAGCACAAAAGAATCTTCAGAATCACCGGGCGCTGATTCTGAAGATGAGCCCCTTGCTAAGAAAAAGCGCAGAGAGAGAGAGAGAGAGAGAGAGAGAGAGAGAGAGAGAGAGAGAGAGAGAGAGAGAGAGAGAGAGAGAGAGAGAAAGTTATGTGAACACATTTTGCTCTGGACTCGTATGGAGTATGGACGTCTTTGGGACTGTTCTCTGCAGTTCTGTGAGAAGTGATGTTTTTGAATGTTTTTGTAGTTCTGTTTGTATGTTGTTGTCACTTGTTGAACTGTATGGTTGCAGGTACCACGTCGAAGCGGCTTGGAGGTATATATGTTTTTGAAGTTCGTTTCTTAACTTTCTTTTATTGATTTTAAATTTTGTTTTTTTGTTTTGTCTGTTGACCAGCTTGATCTATTATTGAACCTTGAAGTTGCCTAAGTCTTATGTAAGCCGCGACGCCAAATGTATCAGGTCATCAAACGACACCAGGACTTGTGAAAAAAAAAAAAAAAATCGTTAATTTTTTTTTCCGGACCTCACCAGACCTCCGGACCGTCCGGATCCCGTCATGTCCGGTATCCGGAAGATGTCCGAAATTCCGGACGTCCGGAAACAACCGGGCACGTGTCTGGTTTGATGTCCGGAAATGTCCGGGTCCGGGTCCAGCGTAGCCATGCTCTATAGCAAGTAACATTGAGCACGTTTTTTTTTTTTTTTTTTTTTTTTTTTTTTTTTTTTTTTTTTTTTTTTTCACATGCTAATCCATTGAGAAATTGAAAATAGAAATCCCTTTGTCAACTATGTTTATTTTCAAATTGGTTTTCTCAGTGGTACCCCTTTCATTTGTTGTTGCAGATACCCTTTTGCTATGCCTCTCACGCACAAGGCTGGCCATGTTGATTGTGGTTGAGCACCAGCTGCCCACACCCCCGTGTGCCTTAACAGCACACTTGCACATCATGAAAGGAGGCAGAGTAAAGGGGGAGGTATACTCCTGTTCATTTGACTTCAGATATTCAGCTCATAATTTGTCTGTTCTCTTAATGATGCTCAATCGTATGCATTTACTAGTAGTACACAAGGGTAGGAAGGAAGGCAAGAGGAAGGAGGTGGAGTTCTATAGGGAGTGAGGGACAGGGGAGGAATAAGGGGTAGGGGTCAAAGTGGAGTGGCAAACTTCACCGGGTTCTAACTGATTGTGTGTGTGTGTGTGTGTGTGTGTGTGTGTGTGTGTGTGCGTGCGTGTCTGTGCATGTGTGTGTGCATGTGTGTGTGCATGTTTTGAATTTTGACCACAACAGCCCCTATGCCTGTGTGTGTTATAAAATATCACCACAACTTCCCCTATTCCACCCAGATGAGTAGATCCAAAGTCATAGCAACTTTTCCTGTATTGCAGACAATAAAGCAGTCTCAAGATGAGCTAATCCACCAGTGAAACAATTTTGCTTGTGAAGTCAATTTCTATTCAGATGTAAAAACAATGCAACCACTTGAGATGGGCCAACCCAGCAGTAAAAACAATACGAGACAATAAATTCGTTATATTGTTTTCTTGATTATATTTTCATCAGCTAGCATTAAGATGCCTCCCATTTTCTTTGTTTTTGTAGTTACCTTCTTACTGTGCCTATCACGTACAAGGCTGGCCACGTTGATGATGGTTGAGCGCCAGCTGCCCACATCCCCGTGCGGCGTGTGCCTTTACGGCCCACTTGCACGTTATAAAAAGAGGCAGAGTAAAAGGGTAATTATATTTTTTCTGTTCTCTCAATGACGCTCATTCATACGCATTTACTGGTAGTACACAAGGAGAGGGAGTAGATAACAGGGAGGAGGACAAAATAAAAATAGAGAGAGCAAGAGAGAGAGAGAGAGAGAGAGAGAGAGAGAGGATTCTCTATACAGACCTTTGGGGCAGACGACTGTAGAATGACACGAGATGTCAATCAGTGTTCGGGTTGCAGGATGAGGAGTAGCTGTTGCTTATCGTAGCTGTTGACTATGGTAGGTGACCATTCCTGCAGATCGGACAGCACCGATTCGGGTGCGGACGTGGAAGCATCGCATCCAATTCTCGCAGTTGCAGTTGCTCCACCGAATGGCACGACGTAGACAGATATCACAGGCAACATGGCTCCCACAGGCAAGAAACACAGAGGCACGCCAACCACAATTGTTGAGGCATTGTTGTTCGGGCCCCTGTCTACATATTGGACATGACATGTCAGGGTGCCGAACGTGAGTGCAATACTGACTGTCATCAAATGTATGAAAACAGAAAGATGCACGGGTTGTGCCTTCATAATCCTCATGACATAATGCATGCACCCCACGTGCTAGTCGAATCTCAGGTGGATTATCACAGAACGGCATTGAACAAGGGTGTCTAGCTGCTGCAGAATTTATTCTGCAACAGTTCGTTCTAGCGGTGTTAGCCCTTCAGCACAGTGCTCTATAAGCGGCTCATGTGGTTATCTATTTTCCTGCTCAGGCTGTTGAGTTTGCTGTTGTCGGGCAAGGAAGAAAGAGATCCGATGCCGTTTCCAGTAATTGTATGCCTAACTCTGCATGTGGGGCATGCTATGAGAGGATGTGGTGGATGATGGCATCGTGGATAGTCCACGCAGTAGAGGCACATGCTTTCTATGACAGCTTCCTGGAAACATTGATGACACATTGCATGTTGCTGACATATCAGCAGGAAGGCAGGTTGACGTTCGCAGCTATTTAAGCATGGCAGATTAAGACCACGACGGCATATTGGGCAGGCGATGATGGGGTGGGGGGGATGGACACAAGACAAAGAGTCTCAATTTTTGCGACAGAGGCTGGCAGTGACCATCCCTTCATAGTGTTTGGAGCAGAGACTATGCACTGTGCATGCTAACTGAACTGTGGCTATGTGGCCACAGAAGGAAGGTCACAACCAACATCTTCTAAGGAGGTTCTTTCATTGTCTGGAGCAGAATCTGCCCGATCTAGACAGGGAGGGGACACTGCTTGGTCATGTGCAAGGGAAGGAGGTAATTGCGCATCCGGATTGCTCTCCAGAGACTGAAGCGCTTGCGGGCTATGTATCACCCGCGGCCGCGGCCGCGGGGTCAAACTCGGAGGGTGGCCGTGATCACGACCGCGGTTGGGTGCGGCCGCGACTATCAGGAAGTTTATAGACTTAAAAAGATTCTCAAAAAAAAAATTTTGGCCTCGGCCGCGCATGGCCGCCTCCGTGGGGGATTCATAGCTTGCGGGTGCAAAGTAACATACTGTTCCTGAAGGACAATCTAAATTCAGGGAGTATTTGCTCCTTGGTTATAGAAGGAGTTAATGCTACTTACCGTGTGCACCCTACCTCCATTGTCCCATAAGGCCCATGAATTGTCTGCATAGGTCACAGTTGTGTGTGTGTGTGTGTGTGTGTGTGTGTGTGTGTGTCCAATATATCCCACGGTGTACTCACCATACACCCCATGGAACCCATGGTACACCCCGCGCTGCCGTAACCAAACTAACGCTGTATATTGCCACTCTAACTACTTTTCATGAAGCTACCTCGTACGTCCATGGTTCTCCATGACCAGCTTTCCAAAGTGCCAGACATATAGGATCAGGGCATGGGGGAGGTGGGTGGGCAAACAACACGCAAGCACACCAAGCAGGCAAACCAAAGAAACAAGTCCCAAAAAGATGCCAAGACCAGGCAGACAAGACAAACATCAAGGCATGCCAAGACCAAGCAAGCAAAAAGACCAGGTCAAAAGCAGTGAGGTGAACCATAGGCTGGAGGGCAAGCCCGGCAAAGGGGATGCAGGAGGGCAGACAACATGCAAGCACACCAAATGGGCAAACCAGTGAAAAAATCCAAGTCCCAGAAAAATCGAAGTTCCAAAAAAAAATTGAAAGCTGATGAGGATAGGCTGTTTCGTCGGAGTTGCACCGACTCGTCAGGAAGCTGAACCCTCGACAATCTGCTGAATCTCCATATTGATGGTTTGGGAACCCGTTGACCCTTGTTGAAGGCAGACTGTCCCCAAACGGAACACACAGCAGAGGGCAGCAAACCAGCGAACCACCAGGCAACGCTGCAGAGGCAACCGTGACATGGCTGCTCACCACCAAAGACTACTGGAAGGAACGGCATGGCAAGCAGATGCACAGTGCGGCAAGACGCCGGCAACCACGCAGTGAGGCACAAGGCAACACCAACAAGGCAACCACACCGCAAGGGACGACAGGGCAAGCGGATGAGCAGCACGGCAACCATACAGTGAAGCAGAAGGCAACATAGGGCAACCGAACCACAAGGTACGCAACCAAAGGACACGGAAAGCACGGCCTACGGATGGGTGGTAAGGCAGCGGGGCAGCAAAGCACAAGGCAACATCAAAGCACAGTCACACCACATAGCGAACACAGCAGCAGAGCGCAGACGAGGCAGTCCACACATCCAACACGGAGCGAAGCGGCACATGACCTGCTCACATCATGGGTGAACCCCGCAGACTGCTGGTTCCCACCACCCACAGAGTCAGGGAGTCACTCAGACGAACATCCGTCATCACCCACAAGAGACACAGGCAACCCAAACTGAGTGGCCCCCCTAAGAGTGGCATTCCA